ATTTTTGAAATCGGCCCGGTAGTTTTTGATTTATTTCAATACATACAAAAATACAATACTTTCCTCTGTATAATATTGGTATAGTAAAAATCCCTTGAACGCCTTGAGAAATTATTAAATGTATAGGAGTGGTAAATCGTATTTAAAATAATATTATGTTACCTCGATCTTAAGTCTGTGCAGCAATCTGTCTCGCTCACGCTTTAGCAGGTCACATGCATTTGTCTCGTTCTCATCCAGAACACCTTTCATCTCAAGTTCTGCTATTTTCGAATCTTTTCCACTAATCGCCTCTTCTAACATATCTTGACTGAAATTATACATTTGATTTTTTAATAAAGTTAATACAATTTTTACATAAACTTTTGTTAATTTTATAGGTAAAGTAATGTTATTTTTTCTCTCATGTTAAGTTGATTTATTTTATATTAATGAGTAATCTCATTTTGTTCCTTTACTGTAACCTAAGCGTAAAATTTTCTTTTTTTTTCTCTCTAACAATGTTGTGTACTTATTACTGACATGATGGATACATGTGACTTATACTATATTTCTTAGGTGATTGTTCTGTAACTTATCTGTTGGTTTACATTGTGAAGAAATAAATAAATAAACTAATACTAATTTTTGATGTTACTATAATGTAGAGAAGCAATTGAAAGACATGTGTGAAGCCAACCCACCGTGGGCCAGAGTGATTTGACTATGGCCTAGTCACCCCTTACATGACGGTTTCATGCCTCTCAGTGGGGACATAGATGGTAGTGAATAAATGATAAATACAATGTAATTAATTACAACAATCTTTTAACATTTCTTTATATTGTTGGAATTTTAATTTTGATTGTTTAAGTTGGAAACTTCTATATAATTCTATTAGTCTTTTTCAGTTCACTTACATAACATGCGACGAATGCCGCAGTATCTCTTGTTTCTTGCTCTCGCAATTCTGAAGCTGATCTTCTAGCAGCTTCAATCGCTTTAGCACCGACGAGCACGTCTCACAACTCAGCGCTGAAGCGTTCTGCAGAGATCTTATACGTTGTTCCATCTTCATCATCTAAAACAATATGAGTATTGTAGTGCGGAGAGAGATGTTAAGGAAGTTTGTTCTGTCAGAAAATATAGAAAAACGGAAAACTATTAACACACAAGACAAGGCGTGAAAATACAGTTATAGTTTTACAAGTATTTTGTGCCACTGCTTTGAAAAGGTGCTCACTAATGAGCTATTAACTACAAACTAACCGAAGCAAATAACTAACGTTCGAAAAGTTAGTTGGTTAGTAATTAAAAATACAATCAGTAAATAATAATATTTAGACCAGTAATTAATAATACTTTGGTCATTAATTAATAAAACTTTAATCAAAGATTAATAATAGTTCAATTATTATTTTGTTTAATAATGAATAATATGAGCGATGAATAATAGTTAATAACTTTATGCGTATCGGATCAGATATGTTTTATGGACTTTATGAACTTCAAATTGTACTATATGGATAAATTTAATTCAATTAAACATATTTCTTATTAAAGGAATTATTCTAACCTTTTGTAACGTTTCAATTCTTCTTTGTTCCTCTTCATTAAATACTTTTTCCCTTTCTGCTGCTATCATTATAGACTCTTTCAGTGCATCTTCTAATTCTAAAATCCTAGATTCCTTGTTATCCGTAGAGACAGTAAATGTTTTGTTTTTAATCATTTGTTCTAATTCATTAATTCTCTCGTCTTTACTTCTTACAACTGCTAAAAGTTGTTCAAATTCAGCAATGTTATTATTTTCTCTTAACGCTTCCTCTAAAATGGTTATACATCTCTGCTGTTCTATAATTTTTGAATTCTTTATTCCCATTTCATTCGATAGATCTGTTATTTTTCTTGTTAATTTGTTCATGTTAGGTTGTGTTTGTTTATTATCTGTTTTATTGTTTAAATTTATATTGCTTGCACTTTGACTGAATTTGCATTTGTCTAATCTATCCGCTACCTTACCACTCTTCTGCAGTTCAAAGAAACTTCTGCTTTTCTTTATATTGCCCAACTGTCCGTCTGATATTTTTAACACTTCTGACAGTATTAATGACGATTGATTCAATTCAATCTCTAAATCGATTATCTTCATTCTGCTCTCTTCTAATTTTGTTTTTAAATAGTCTCTTTCTTTCAATGCTTTTGTTAAATCACCCAAAGCTGCTAGTTCGTTATTATTTGCTCGCGATAATTCCTAATTTAAAGGTGGATACAAAAAAGAAAACAAAACGATAAATAAATAAAAAACGAATTATTATTTATGTTTAGATAACAAAAATGTTACAACAATATAAACTTAAAAAAATGATTAGAAATAGATATAACGTTGATTTCGTTTAATTTATAGTCAATTGGTATTCCGCATAACAAGACTGAAAGCTGTTTAACACCGACTAATGGACAACTCACTTGCTCTATCTAGATATATGAGTACTTAACAGTTTTACAATAATGTTATATATATTTTCATTAATACTTAAGAAATATTTCCCGCTGAACACGATTATTCAATTGTTAATAAACATCACTTAGAAATTATGGCTAAACTAACAATTATATTAATTGTGTGCTGTTTACAAATTTACTGAACCCACGAAACCTGTACATGGTTAACGGTTAACAAGAGATGAAAGTTAATTTATTATCTGAACACTTTATTTTTCAATATAAATATTGATAACATACTTAATAAGAATTGCGCCTATTTTGTGATGTTAAGAAGACATGAAGAGATAAAACTCACTCACTGTACTGAATGCGACAGTCAAAGAAAAAAAAGTGTGTAAAAAATAAAGATAAACATAACCGAACGACAGTCTTGGTGAAGGATTAACTTAGAAAAAGCTTTTGAGGAAGCCTGCGGGTCCGGCCTGGAGCGTGCAAAAGAAAAGTTAGTTGGTTAGTAATTAATAATACGATCAGTAAATAATAATACTTAGATTAGTAATTAATAATACTTTGGTCATTGATTAATAGTAGTTTGATCACGGATTAATAATGTTTTTGTTATTAATGAATAGTATTGTATAATATAGTCAGTGATGACTAATAGTTTATTTAGCATTTAGCAATATTTTAGGACATTTATAACAAAAGGCACTAAAATAGTGTTATTGCACAGAACTTACAAAAAGGCATGTTATATTAAAATTAAGATGCTGTATATAAGACAACAATATGATGTATCTTTCGGCAGTATATCATTGTAGAGACAAATTAGAGCAAAAATTGTACTCACCTCTTCTCTTTGTGCTTGTGCTTGTTGCTGACTTTTCAGTTTGGCTTGAAGGCTTCTGATCGATCTGAAAGGCAAAATAATAAGTTTACCTTACAATAGTGCTATGTATATACATTTATTTTTTATTTTTTATAAAATATCTTAATTAACAAAAACTAAAGTATAACAATTGGAACTATATTTTACTACGTAATGTAACTGAGTATTTAAAACTACATTAACAATTACCTGGCATAATCGAAACTGAAATCTTAGACACAAATAATTGAACACTATTTGACGAGATAAATATATATAACATGATAAAACAGGGAAGTAAAAGTGGATTTAACGGCGGAGGAGACGCATAGGAAGAGGAAATACCTTCTTTATGTGCGTCTCCTTTTCTGCCTATTAACAGTAATAGCATCTGCGATTGTGGATGGCTATGGGCAGCGGTCGCTTCACCATTTCGACAGATTCATTTGCCCGCTTGCTCATTTACCACCTTATAATATATAGTGTGTGATCTTGTGACTTACTGCTGCAGATCCATAATCTGCTTCTCCTTCTGTGCCTGTTCCTCTTGTGACATCTGCACGAGCTGCAACAGGCGCTCCGTCTCCGCTGTCAGCCGCCGTGATTCCTCCTCGCTCTGTTTCAACTGCTGCTTCACCTGGTCCGCCTCCTTCTGAGTGTCTGTCAGCTTACGGTTCATCTCCGTCACCGCTGCTGCGCTACCGCCCGCCTTTAATTGATATTACTTGGTTAAATGGCATCTAGTATACTTCGAGGACAATCTTTTTGTAAATTCAGTTATTTTTAGTATAAGTTGGATGCGTGAAACGATGTTAGGTTTTATTTGGATGTTTTAAGAACTGATATTCAAGTATGTGTTGAAAAGGCGATTGACGTATTGAAATAACATGTTTGTATTTTCGATATTATAGGTTATAGTCAAAATTTTAGTACTGTTTTAATAGTTAAGTTTCAAATGTGAATTGCTTTTATTATTACCTATTACAGGGGTCAGAATATAATTTATTCACTCAACCGCTACGTATAAGACAGTAAAACAGAAATTGACTAAGATGTGAGTTCTAGGGGAATGGGGGAGTAGTATTCGTACATTGTTATTTGAATGTTCATATTTACCTTCCTCAAAGATGCTTCCATTTGGTCCATTTGTTCTTTTCTCTTCTTTAACTGTCGATCCAGTTCAGTCAGTGACTTTTCTTTTTCCTCTACATCTTTCCTCTTATTCTCTACTGCTCTTCTCTGTTCATCGAACTGTCTCTTCATGTCTTCTAACTTCTTCATCTCTTCTTGTAGTTGCTTTCTAGCTTGCGCTGAATCTTCCCCAGCTTTGGCGCTCTGAGCGCCAGCCGTTTGTAATTTCTTGTTCGCTTCGCGGAGATCGAGCTGTTATCAAAATACTTCTATTAATTTTTTTTGCAATGATGATGGTTTAGAATAGAGTCAAAAATTCACTTGGAATTACTATTTTATACTTTAATCACGATAGTTTTCAAAAATAATGTTAAACGCTTGAAGTAATTTTAATAAAATAGTAAACAGTGAATAAAATTCTCCATGTTTGAAATGTTTCATTTCCATAGCAAATAAGTTATTTGTTTGTAAAGCTTGAAGTATTTGCAAGTATCTTTGTATTAAAATATTCAAGCTCAGTATAAGCGTAACTTTATACATGTAATTTGCAAACTATATTTTTGCGCAGCAACAAATTTAATGACAAAAATAATATTTTTTGTTTGAATATATTTAATTCGCACGATGAACAGTATCGCATAAACACAGTAAAATATAGCATGTACGGCTGAAAGAGACAAATACAAATTAATAAAAGTCGAAAGTCAAGCTTCTTGCAATGCACCGAACATTTAACTTGACACCGATCGGGTTTGGACTCATAGTGCACTGTTATGCGAAATGTCTGGTGCAAAAACGTCTTTCGTTATTGTTAAGATACTCGACGTCCATTACTTTTGCGATAGTGAAACTAATAAAACAAATACGAATAATTATAATGAGGGGTTGGAGGATGCCCAGCGGGCTGTGGGAGGCATGCTACTATACAACAACAATGTACATGACGACCGGCGATGATGATCACAAACCAAAAAAATGTATGAACATCGAAACCAAGATCTACGCGACACCGGTGCAATGACTGAAGCAGACAACGAACGCGACTCGGGTGCGGTTCAATCGAGTTCGTGTTTTCCATTATTGAGCCAATTAAATAATTCAATTTATCAAATTTTAACAAATCGAAGTCGATTCAACCACGCAATGCCGTCCCGCCAGCCGCTCGTCGCCGGGCGATCCTCCAACTGACCTGGCTCTTTTCCAATTCTTGAACGAGCATCTCGAGCTGCGACT